TTTTTTACAGCAACTCCTGGAAACAGAAATTGAGAGGGAGAAAATAACGGGAGAACTTACAGGGATCTTCAGAAAACAAGGAAGTGCCCTCTGACATCTGCCCGAAACAGCGGGTCGGTATCAGTTCACAAAGTTTGGTCTGTGGTACCGACTCCACTCCTCAGAAAGCATTTGGGTGCATGCCTCCCACTGGGGGGTGGGAGGGAGAATACTGGAGGTATTGCTAAACAGGTGCCTGTTCTTCCCTGCGAGCCCCCAGCTCTGGGTTCACACACCAAGCTGCGGGCAGCAGCAGAGCCACTTAACAGGGCTCGGACTGGGCTGAGGTGCCCCGCCAGGCCGCCGCTCCCGCAGCGAGCACAGCGCCGGGGCCTCACCGAGCAGCGACTGCACCAGCGAGTCCGGGCGCTCACAAGCGATGACTCAGTCTCCCCTAAATTAGGGGATTGCCGGTGACGTCTGCTAAAACAACAAGAGGCAGAAAGCGCACGTTGTTTTGCTTCAGCAGAGCTGGGGTAGATCTTTCCAGCCCCGCCTTCCCCGCTCCTCGTTCCCCGATCCCGGCAGAGCCGGGTGCCTGAAGCCTCCGGGACATGGCAGCGACTCCAGGACGCAAAGGCAACGCTGACCGACAGCGGGGCTCCTCCGCTGGACCGCCGGGACACTGGCGGGGAGCACAGGGCTGTACTCGAGCTCCCCTTCTCCTCCTCCCCTTCTGCCGGCAGTAAGCCCTCTCCACCAGCAACCATGCGGGGCGGGAGCGTTCCGCCGCCGGTATCTTGTATAACGCAGCCCCGGCGGCGTCCCCCGGTGACGCTTCCCTCGCCACTGCACGGGACAAGGCAGCCGCAGCGAGCTCGCTGGCTCGCTGGCTGGCTCGGACACCGCCCTCCTTCCCTTTTCCTCCCCTCTTCCTCCCCTCCCACCTTCCACCCAGCCCTGCCTCGCGCATGCGCAACCGCCCGGGGGACCGCTGGGAAACGTAGTCGCGCTGCGTCCCTAACGGCTCCATTTTCTCCCCGTCGCCAGAGGAATTGCGCGTGCGCAGGCCCGCCCCCTCCCCTCGGGCGTTACCGCCCCCTCTGCCGCGGCGCGCGGTATCCCGGGCAGCGGTGTCACAGCGGGGATTGGCCGAGGGGGCCGCGGGGCGGGACGCGAGGGGCGCGCTGATTGGCTGGGGCGGCTGTCAGGCGCCGCGGGGTGATGGATGCGGGTGCCCGCTGAGGAGGGAGGGACGGAACGCTCCCCGGTTCCCCTCGGCGTCCGGCGGCGCGCCGGGCACAGCCCTGCCCGCAGCGCGGGGTGGAGTCGCGTGGTTCTCAGTGGTCCCCTCTCCTAGGAAGGGCTTCGGAGCCGCTCCATCCCGGGGCGAGCTGGAAGGAGGCGAGACTCCTCCAAAGTCCCGGTACCCTAGCGCAAAAGCATTCACTTGCTCCCGCGATCCCCCCCAGCCTCCCCGCGGGCCGCTCGCCTCGCAGCCTCCGCACAACTTCACCGGAGCCTCCGCCTTCCCCGGGGCTTCCTTCACCCCACGCCCACGCCGGCCCTGCGCCGCCCGCCCCCTGGCTCGGCCCGCATCCCCGCCGCCTTCCCTCCCTCCCCAAACGTGAGTAAGGGAGGCGGGCCGATGGATATGCGGAGGTTCCGGGCGGGGGAAGGGATTGAGTGTGTGCGGTGAGTGTGTGAGAGAGAGAGAGAGAGTGTGTGTGTGTGTGTGTGTACACAGCGCTGGGAGAGAGCGCATGCGCCCTGGCTGGCGGGGCCGAATGTTTCCCAAGTGTTTGAAACTGGTATTTGGGTTTTCCACGTTGGATCTAGCGCGGCGTATGGGAGCGAGGAGGCTGCGTTGATATCGCCGGGGAGCGGCGGCGGCGGCGGCGGTGAGGAGGAGAGCGGGGAAGGGGGGAGCGGAGGAGAAGCAGAGCAGAGCGGCGCTGGCGCAGGCAGAGGGGCTGCCGCTACCTCTGACAGACACTTTGCAGAGCACATTTTGTTTCCAGATTGTTTCGGAGGAGCTGGTTTAAGCCCCCCTCCTTTCTCCTCCTCCTCCTCTCCCCCTCCCCTCCCCACACACACACACACACACGCACACACACACACAAATCCCTCTGATTGTTCTTACCACCTCCTTCGTGAATTACCCACAACGACAGCCATTCAATCAGCTGCTGCTGGCTGTAGGGGACTAGCGGAGGGTGTGTGTGTGTCTCTCTCTCTCCCTCTTTTTCACACAAGAGGAGTCAGATGTAGCTTCCCTCGGTTTTTTTGGGGGGAGCTACCGAGAGAGGTGGGCAGGGAGTGAGACCTTCATCGGGGTTACCGTCTTTGAAGGGAGCAGCACTTGCTCTCATACGGAGAGGTGTGGGGAAGGATTTTTGTTTCTTTGCCGGATGAAAATGTTGAGTCCTGCAAACGGAGACCAGCTTCACCTAGTGAACTATGTGGAGGATTATCTGGACTCCATCGAGTCTATGCCCTTCGATCTGCAGAGAAATGTCTCCTTGATGAGGGAAATTGACGCCAAATATCAAGGTAAGTGTTTTCTATATATCTGTGTGTCCGTGTGTGTGGTTTGGGGCTCAGGGGGGAAGGGTGTCTTTCCCTTTCTTTTCTTTAGAGCTGAGCCTCGGCTCCGTTTGCCCCTCTGCACCCCACAGGGATGGTAGCTTTATTTTTGAGAGGTAAAAGGAGGAAGAAAGCCGGGAGGAAAGATCCGAGGAGAGAGGGGGACTGATCTGCAGCGTTAGCTCTTGTCATGGGGCGGAACAAAAGGTCTCCGGCTTTTCTTATTAAGCAAGGACTCTGCTTTTCTGTGTAAATTGCTGGCCAAGAAGGCGGGGGCAGGGAAGTGGGGTGTGCGGTGCACAAAGGGGGGCCGTCCCTGGCCGTGGGGCTGAGGTGGAAGGGTTTGGGGGTACGGAAGAAAGTGCTGGGTGGATAGAGGGGGAAGAGATTACAGCACAACATTTAGGAATGTACAGTATTCATTATGGCTGTAGTAGGGGAGAGAGGCAGCTAGTGAAGGAGGGAGGGAAGGAGGGAGGGAGGGAGGAGAGGAGAGGGGGGTTAGGCGAGAGTGGGGGGCAGGGTGTGCTTTCTTCGCTCCCTTCTCGGTGGGTTTCGTTTCACCCGGTGAAACAGCCCCGCTCCGTTGGGCGGGGGGGCCGAGGGGGCAGGACCGGCGTGTGCGGTGTGAGTGGGGGGGGACGGCACACACGGTCGCGTTTACGGCCGGGCTGAAGCGCCCCCCTCCCTCCCCGCGCTCGGGGCACGCCGTCCCCGTCCCCACGGGCGGAGGGAAGGAAGGGGAGGCCGGTTTGCGGGACTCGGGGCAGCTTTGTCACTTGGTAGCTGGCGTCCGCTCGGAAGCAGGGGGAGGGGGGAGGGCGCTTTATTCTGTACCGCAGGTAGCGGTGACAGCCGGGGTGCCGGGAGGGGGGACCCCCTCTCCCTGCCCGCGCCCCCGTGCATGTGGCCTTAGGGGCGGCGGGCAGCGAGCCCTGCCTGCCGTTGCCTCAGCCGCTCCTAGGGCAGCTCACCATGGGAGCCCGTCAGCTCCCGGGGGAAGGGTCCGGGGGAAACTTCTTCAGGAGCCCGTGGGGGCTTTCGGGGGTGGGAAGGGAAGAAAAGGACAAGGCGGGCATTGCACCCCATGAAACCGCGTCCAGCGGGCACCTCCGCGCTGTGCTAGGAAGGGGCGTCCGCGCTGTTTTTATAGACAGACCTCGTTAGCATATCGCGGTTGGCCACGCCCGTCGGGGGTGCTGATAGGGCGGGGGCGTCCCCACGGGCCGGCCGTGCCCCGCCTCCCCGCGCGGATTGGCTCCGGGGCCGGGCCGACCCGTCTCCCGGCCCTGCCTCGTCGTGACGTTTCGAGAAGCAACTTTTCCGTGGGGCTGATTTGAATATCTCGGCCGGCCTCGGCCGGCGCGCTCTGATTGGCCGGGTTCACAGCAGGGGGCGGGGCAACCTTGGCCGTCCGGAGAGTGACTGACGTGTCGGGGGGGGGGGGCGCTTCTGCTCCAGCCGCACCTCGCTCGTGACTGGCCGGAGGGGGCGGGCGCCAGCTCGCTCGCGCCCGCCGTGATTGGCCGCTGCTCTCTGTCAATCACTCGTTTGTTGCCCCGGGAGAGTCCGTTCGGCCCCGCTCGGGACGGCGGGGGCGGAGCCGCCCCGCCCCGCCCCCCCCCGCGCCCCCGGGACCGCCGTGGGTTCCGCGGGGACGTCCCGGTTTCCTGCCCGAGAACAATGGCGGCTCCGTCACCTCCGGGGCGGCCCCGGGCGCCGCAGAGGGGCGGGAGGAGGCCGGGCTCTCGCCCGTGTCCCGCTCGCCGTCGTTCCGCGGCGTCTGAGCCCCCGTGAGGCCGCGGAGCTACGCTGGGAGTGAAGCTCCGGCGGCATGGCTTCCCTCCGCTTGAGTGGTGTCTGTGATGCCGGGAGCGCGCGTTCGCCAGTGCCTCAGAGCGCAGCTCTCCGCTCCCGCTGCTGCAGCACGGTGCGGCAGCGAGGGTTCCTGGGATCGCCGTGAGCCGAGGCTCCCGCGGCGGCAGCTGCAGCCAGCCCGAGCCGCAGCGCGGCCCCGGTGGCTCCCTCAGCACCGAGCGAGCGGCGCTGCGCTCCCGGCGCCCGGGCCGAGCGCCCCCGGCTTTGCGCAGCTCCCGCTCCGTGTCGCACATGCCAAACACGCCTGGGCCGGGATCCCAGCCCGCAGCCGGGCGGGAATGGCAGCGGGCAGTGCTGGAACCGAAGTTTTCCCGACTCCGAACTTCCGTCGGTAATGGTTTTGTGCTGTTCAGACAGACCGTTCTTCGTAGGAGATGCCCACCCACCAGATTGAGATGGGTTAAACTGATGACATCGGTCAAGTGCCAAAACTTAAAGCATAAAACCTCTGTATTTCAGCCACTGAAAAACATTAACTCTGCTTTTTCAGCCTTCTTGAACGTAGAATCCGCTGTATGTTTGAAGGATCTTTTGGTGGCATCTTGGGTGTACCATTTTTGGTATTTTTTTATTGTTGTTTTGTTTTGGGCTTTTTTTTTGTAGGTTAAAAAACCCACCAGTTGCTTAAAATGGTTAATAACAAATCGGAATGCTGATTTGTCAGATAGGTTATATTGCAGAACCAGCTGACAGGTCGTGCTTAACCGATGTGTGAAGCACAAGCTGCAGCTCTAAAATCTGAATAAAGCTTGTGTAATATTTCCATGTCTTCACTGGAAATTGTGTATGTTTAAAAACTCTGCCGAGGAAAGCCAAAACCTAAAGCACAGGATAACTCTTGGTTTGCATATGTGTCACATGTTCCTATGAATAAATAAATAATAAAAAAATGTAAGTTAAAAAAAGTTTTGGTAATGCCATTGGCATATATGAGAGATCCTAGTTTCTGTTAGATGAATTGAGGTCAGATTTTATATATATATATATATTTAATATATTTTGCTTCTCTAAGACAGACTGTTCTAACCTGTGAGAAAGGGAAAATTCAGAGAAGAAAGGAGATGCAGGAAAAACATTCAATGTGTTTTTGAGGACTTAATATGGAGTGCTGAGTGTCGTGTACGCTGTAGTTTATTTGGGTATCATAATGAAACTCAAAAACATCTTAAAAAGAGGTTTCCATGGCCATTCTTGAAACTTTAGATACTTTGTGCATTGTTGTTTTTTATAAACTGTTAGAACAATCCTTGAGGTGCAATTCAGGATGTAACATATTTTAAAGCAGAAGCTCCAGCTCCCCGTTGTTGCCTATCATCTTTAATGTTATCTTTTAACTTCCTGCTCTGCAGTAAGTATTTAATGAAGATAATATTTTTGTGTTTTAAAGAATAGCAACATGTATTTTACAGAAAGTGTAGGTGGGAAATAATCTAAACCTCCTGGACATTGTAATCCTAGTTTTGCAATCCAGGGATTTACACAGCCTCATATTTTCAGCAGAAATAGCTTGACAGTATTGGATGAAATAGCTTTGGGTCTAGGCCTTGTATTTGGTGCTTCTGCATCTCCTGTCAAGTAACCCAGCAGCGTGCTTCTAGGGTGGTTTGTGCTTTCTTTCTGTCCCACTCTCTTTCTCCCACTCTGTCATTCACTGAAAATGTTAATGTTGTTATACAGAAAATGTCCAATGATTTCCCCTCTAATTTTGCAGTTAACCTTGGACCTTTTGACAGTATGTGTATTGGTTTAGTTAGTTCTTTTTAATTACTGAAAAGTTTAAAGGGAAGCATTATCAGCATACATAAAAATATATATTTAGTCACTTTTTTCCTCCTAAATCAGCCTTTGCATTCCATTCCTGTGTGACCACCTAGAACAAAAGCAGTCCAGTGGAGTCATGAGCTGCTGTCAGGTACAAGCTTCAGGGCACCTGTCTTTGATCAGAGCTGCGTGTTACAAGAAGTTGTTGCTGTGTGGAAGGAAAAACAGGAGGTTTTGTTTTGCCATTTTCCCTGTCAAAAATATTTATAGTTTTTATTTCTTCTTTGCAGAGATTCTGAAGGACCTGGATGATTACTATGAGAAATTTAAGCGGGAGACTGATGCTGTGCAGAAGAGAAGAATGTTGCACTGCATACAGAGAGCCTTGATTCGGAGTCAGGAACTGGGGGACGAGAAGATCCAAATCGTCAGTCAGATGGTGGAGCTGGTTGAGAACAGAACAAGGCAAGTGGACAGCCACGTGGAGCTGTTTGAGACTTGCCAAGAGACTAATGACACCACTGGAAACAGCGGGAAAGCCAGCCAGGATAAGTCGAAGAATGAGACAATCGCACAGGCTGAAAAGCCCAACAACAAGAGATCGAGGAGGCAGCGGAATAATGAGAATCGAGAGAATGCCTCAAATAATCATGATCACGATGACATCACCTCAGGAACACCAAAGGAGAAGAAAGCAAAAACATCCAAGAAGAAGAAACGATCCAAGGCTAAAGCAGAGCGGGAAGCTTCTCCTCCTGACCTTCCTATTGACCCTAATGAGCCAACATACTGCTTGTGCAACCAGGTCTCCTATGGAGAAATGATAGGATGTGATAATGATGAGTGCCCCATTGAATGGTTTCACTTTTCTTGTGTGGGACTCAACCATAAACCAAAGGGCAAATGGTACTGCCCCAAATGTAGAGGAGAAAATGAGAAAACTATGGACAAGGCGTTGGAGAAATCTAAAAAAGAAAGGGCATACAACAGGTAGTTTGTGGACTTTTCATAGTGAAGGAAAAAACCCACCAAACCAGTGTATTTATTGTCAGTGTCACCTTTGTTGAGGTGAAAGGATTGTAAAATGTATATTTTTAAAGGAGGTTTAAAACTGAACCATTCCTGTTACAGGGACGGCAATAAGAAATTTTGGGTTTCATTTGGTAAGCTGTAACAAGAATGTGGTCTGTGGACCAATGTATTCCAAAAGTAAAATTATAAGAATATTCGGGTGTTTCTTAAAAGATAAATTAATAATTTTCTTTATTTCTTTTCTTCTTTTTTTTTCTTTTTATTTTCTTTTTTTTTTTTTTTTAGTGCTGGTAGCACTCTACCCATTAAAATTTTGACAAATATTTCTTGAAATGTAATTTTGTTTTCCTTAATGAAAAATGTTATTTACCTTTTGAGTAAAATTGATAAATAGTTTAACCACCTGGCTGTATCTGAATAAAGCTGCAATACATTGCAAAAGTAACTTCTTTTGGTGATAAGCAAGAACAAACAAAAGGAGGGTAAAATTTGGTTCCTGCTACAAAGTGTCAGTATAACAGTTCAATAGCAAATGTTTAAATAGGCTTAGAGGATTATTTTTTAAAACAAAAAGTTAATGGTTAAATTTTAAACAACAAATATTTTATATGCTGGCCAGGTACCACAAAGGCCATTTTTAAATGATTGAATATGTTTTGTATTTAACCAGGAAGTGGTTTAGTAATGAGACATAACATAAATGAAGCTTTATACTGTCACAGATAGTGGTGTAGCAATCCTTAATTTGTTTAAGTTGTATAAATGTACATTTTAAGTGGAGTTGCACTTACTGTATTATACTTGGAAATGCAGCCAAATGCCATTGTGTAACCAATGTGCATTTCCTGCTGTATGTATGAAAATTGTACAGATGTGATATTAAGAAATAAATGAAATGACTTTGACAGTTTGCTTCTTTAGCAGTCTTGTTTAATGATCATTCATGTAGCTCAAAAAACCCAGAAATTCATCTTTGACCTCAGCAGCTGCAGCAAGCTGCTGCTGGAAGCCTGAACCTGTTGTAGTGGTAACCAAATTACAGTTCTGATAAAGGATCTTCATAGAACGTATGGCCAGCAAGGTCGTAGGAGAGCCAAAACAGCATTCAGCTTTCCATCCAAATCTTCTCATTTTGTGCTTGCAGTCACTCCCAGACCCAGACATTTATCTGAAAATCAATAGTACAGAGCTGGTCTTGTTCAGTTTTTTTAATGCTTTTTTCATTGTGGATATAAATTATTCCATGTTTGTTATTGGGATCTTTTGTGTTTCAGCATTTCCCAAGTATTCCTGCAGCTGTTCCAGGGCAGGCCTTTTTGTTCTTCATGGTCACCCCATACCAAAATGTACTTGCTGTGACCAGGTGCTGTGCCAGGTACCCAGTGCTCTGTCCCTTGGATGGACACTGAAGCTTGGTCAGGCTGTTTCCTTCACCTTCATGGCCTTAGGGGCCGACATTACAGTGAGCAGATCTCCATCACACTGCAGGCCTTCATCCAGTGAGAAGGGAGCAGGACCAGCAGCTGTACGAAGGCCGTGGAAGTGAAAGTTGTGAAATCCAGTGGATCAGGTGAAAGACTCACATAAAAAGATGGGAGCCTGGGATTGGTGGTTTTTTTTTTTTAGAACATTCTGTGTATAATGGTGGTGTTTTGTTTCCTGAACAGTGAAACCATACCACTGAAATGAGCCTTGTATTCCAGAAGATCCTTCTGTAGGGAGTAAGGTTTTGATCTAGCCAAACACAAGACAGCTGAAGGGGTTCAGTGTTTTCTAAAAATGTACTGAGGGGCCCCAAAATACACTGCATCACCTTGCTGCTGGAAAAACATAACTCACAGTGACCAGTAGTCCTGTTTTACTTCTAAATAGGTACACTACGTTCCAGCAGTCATGTTTCCAGCCCCTTCAGACTGTCAGGTTACACTGAGGCACCTGTGCCCAGGGCAAGTGCCTGCTCCAAATCAGTCTGCTGCTCCCGAGCTGGTTTAGGGTTGGTGTGTAATTTTTCTACTCTCTTACATTTCCTTCTCCTTTCATCTTTTCTCTAAAGCCTTCTGGTTTTCCATTCTCCCTGCACACTTACTGGTCTTTCCCACTCCTCTGTGCCTCCACCTGCTGTTGTTGTGGCTGATGCTGATGCTTCTGGTCTTTTCTGCCTCTGCTGTTCTGGTGTTCTCCCACCAGCCTATCCTGAGAACATCAATACTTAGCAGCAGGACTGTACTAGCAAAACCCCAGTGAAACTTTATATAGGAACTAGTGCAGACAAGGTTTCAAACCAAGCCTTTTCCACAAAATGTCTGCATTGATTCTGAGGGATATTTTGAATGTGAAAAGCCAGAAGCAAACAACAAAAATGCAAAAGAGGATGGTAAGAATGTTGAGCTGTAGATGGATCAGTAGAGACATATTTATACGGCCCTTAAATATTTCCAGCTACTGAAGGCTGGCTGTGGTCTCCCATTTTTCAGTCTTTTGCTGAAAACAGCTGCTGATCTGTAAAGCAGCTTGGAGTTACGTCCCTTTCCACATTTTTCCCAGGCTTGTGTTACCTTCCAGCTCACCCTGTTGCAGGCTGCAGCACTGTTCTGCTCCTTGGCCCTGAGGGCTGAGTGCACTGGCACGGGACAGCCTGGAAGGTCTGGTTTCAGTCGATGGGCACGATTAGTTGGATGCAAGGGGCTCTGCAGTGGCACTAAGCTCTTTGTTGATGGAAGTGGAGCCATCTTGTGTTATACTGACACACTGCCAAGCGCTGCTGACTCTGCAAACTCTGTCCTGGCTTTGGTACTTTGTCTAAAACGCTGTCTTAGTTATTCACATGGCCACAAGAAACTTCTATCTTTTGAGCCAAGTTTTGTAATCTCTGCGTGACAGATCAGCTATTTTGCAAACTTTCTTATTTGTCCAGCAGAGTGATTCGGGGAGATCATCTGCCTGGTTTGAGAAAACATATGACTCTCTTAGTGACCCTTTCCCACGAGGCTGCCAACAAAAGGTTTGAGTGAGAGGGAGGCTCCTCTAGGAGCTGAGCTGAGGTTTCATCTCCATTTCTCACGGGTTAGTAAACAGCTCTCAGGTGTTGCAGCATCAATGCAAAGTATAAAAATCGTTGTGTGTTTGCTGAGGGGGAAGTCATAGCAGCACGAGTTACAAACAAACTTCCCATTGAAATCATTCAGGCAGCTGTAATTGCTGCTCTTCTGTGTGGTAGGGGTAGCAGGCATGTCTGTATTGTGCTGCTGAGCCCTTGAACTGATGGTAAAGTCCTTCCAACCACTGAAAAGTGGCGGTTCAACACTCCAGGCAGCTGACAGCAGACCTTGCCCCGGAGTCGTCCCTGTCCTCGGCAGCAGATTTGTTGTGCAGTGGGCCAGCTGGCAGTGCAGAAGGGCTGCTGGAGGCACGAGCTGGGCAGTCAAAGGCATCAGTGAGGGAGCCCTTTGGGTGCTATGTCAGCTCCAATTGCAGAATGTTCCCAGCCAGCTGGGGAGAGAGCGAGAGAACCACTGCAAGCCTGAACCAGCAGAGCAGAGCATCAGTTTCAACAATTGCACCATCTGAAAGCATCCCAGTCAAGCAGAACCACTGTCTCCATTGAGCAGCAACAACCTTCACCATGTATATCATTAGGCTTAAATAGGTTTCTTACTAATTAAGCACAGTTGCTGATAACCTGTATCCTAATTTCTTGGAGATTATTCTTGTAATTATTGTTTCAGAATAAATACAGTCCAGTAAAAACAATCGAATTGGACTGCTCCACTGTTTTAATTTTCATAGGGTATTTTTAGTTGATCTTTTAAATTGTAATAACAATGAAAGAGATAAAAGCACTGTAAACAGTTGCAAAGAATATAATAAAAATTCTGTAAGGGAAATGCTTCAAAACCATGTATCTTTGTAGTGAATTCTGTTGTTTTAGATTTATCGTCATTCTCATGGCCTATTTGCTATATGTACATGAACCTCCCCTCACCCTTGTGCAGGAATTGCTCAAAAGAGCTGGTAGGTAATTTCTGAGTATGAAAAGTATTGTGAGTCAAAGTAGTGTATGAAAAGAAATAATCAAGCTAATAATGATCCATGCAGTTTCCTACCTTCCCAGCTGTTACTGAAGTCCCAATATAACAAGCAGGAGGAATGATACCGTGAGGAAGAGCAGCAGAGAAAATGCAGTATGTATAGAAAGTGCTGTAAACAGTATTAAGGTTTTCTCCCAAGTTTAAGCTTACATTTCCAAGATTACTTTTCCCAGTAAGCATTTATTTTTGATGGTAGTTAAAAAAATCAAAGGAATCTGTGTCCTGTCTCACAGCAGAAAAGCTGCATTAGTGGCCAGGGCAGTTTTGAGGAGGGGCTGGTGGCATTCCCCTTTGCCAGCTGCAGCCAGGATTCCCAGGTTAATTTATTCCTTTGGTTCACTTTATAAACAGCTTGCCAGTGGTGGAAGGAGAAGAAAGGTGGGTGATACCAAACTTTTAAAAAGAGGTACCTGTATGTAAACTTCCAGCTCTTACTTGAGAATTGTGGGTTACCTTTGTGGCGTAGGACCCCACGTTGGGCCTGGGTGAGATGGAGCTCAGCCCGGTGCACTCCCTGTGCTTTGCACTGGGAGCTGCAGAGGAGCTGATAGCACTCCAGGGCTTTGGCTGCTCTGAGCAGAGCTGGCACAGCCTCAGCTCCGTCTCTCCAACATTCACCCCCACACCAGCAGGCTGGGAGTGGGCAAGGTCCTGGGAGGGGACACAGCTAGGCCAGCTGACCCAAGCTGACCAAAGGGATATTCCATACCATATGACGTCTGCTCGGATATAAAAGCTGGGAAAAGGAGGAGGAAGTGGGGAACATTTGTTTTTTGCAACATTTGCCTTCAGAGGAACTGCTCCGTTTCCTGCAGCCCTGCTTCCCAGGAAGTGGCCGGACATCACTTGCTGATGGGAAGTAGACAATAAAATCTTTGGTTTTTTCCTTTGCTTGTGCATACGCAGCCTTTCGCTTTTGCTTTGCTGACCTGCCTTACCTCAACCTACGAGTTGTTTTCCATCTTATCCTTCTCTCGCCTGTCCAGCTGAGAGCAGGTGTGGGACAGAGTGGCTTGGTGGTCACCTGGCATCCAGCCTGACTTGGTGCCTGATGTGGGGTGGGACAGTGACACCTATTTATATATATTGCCTGCTGTAGTGGTGTTAATTGTCCAGTAGCAAGCTCCTGTGCAGTTTGCCAGCTGCACTGCTTATCTCTTTATTTTGCTGAGTTTGGGAACATGTTAATACAAACAATGGCTCTGTGCTTTTCCCTGGCATTGATGGCCTTGCTGTGCTGGGGGAGCTATCTTGTGGAGACAATGAGGGAATACATCTCTCTCTTCCTACCCAGAATTTATGTGGATTCTTTTATTATGCAGGCTCCTGCAGTCCTTGCTCATCCTTACACGATCTGTTTAATTGGTACTGTAAGCATATCATGGGGTTTGTGGAATCTGATGTCATGGTGCTGTATGAGAAAACAAATTTTGAGTGAGGAGACATCGAAATGCTCCCTGAGGAAGTCAGTCCCTGGGTGGCAGGGTGTGTGGAAGGATTTGGGCAGGTTCCTAGGGCGGTTATCACCTCCCATTGCCTGGGAGTTCACCCATGAGCAGGTAACCAAGCCTGACAAACTGACCCAGCAGCTGATAGAGGGGTGCCTTGCCCAGCCCAACGAAAGCCAGCAGCTCCTTGCCCTGTGCTGGGGCCTGGCCTGTGCCTACAGAGCCACAGTGCTGCACTCTCACAGGACTGTGGCTGAGGCAGGGACACAAACTGTGTGTGAGGACGTGATGGTTGAGACAGGAACCCAGACCACAACCACTACTGAAACTGTCCCTGTAATGGAAATGGAAAGGTGGACA